CTTGGGCAAGACACTTCACCCGTTGCCTACTGGTGGTGGTCAGAGGGCCCGGTGGCGCCAGTGTCCGGCAGCCTCACCTCTGTTTGTTTGTGAATGGGTGGATGACTGAATGTAGTGTGAAGCGCTTTGAGGTCCATAGGGACTAAGTAAAGCGCTATACAAACACAGGCCATTTACCATTTACATTTACAGATGGTGCCAAAATGCGCCAAAATATGCCAAATGGCAAAACACCTGATTATGAGTTTATTAAACCCACTGTAACATTTCTGTGTTTCACTTTAGAAGCACCAGTCTTTGCACAGATAATGTTGATTACTGGTGTTGTGGAGTTCAATGTCTAATGAAGCATATAAGTGGTTATAGGCAATAAAATCTCAAAATAAATTAGGCGAGGAAAAAAAAAAATCTTAAATATAAGAATCCATGTGACATTTTATTTACACAGCACCACAGCACAACAACAACAGTCGCCTAAAGGAACTTTACATTATAAGGTCAAGACACCCCCCCCCCCATGTCAACAAGGGGATACGTCTGTTAGAACCAGGCTAAGGCAGCAGCATCCAGCTGTTACAGCTGGTCGAGGGGTAGGAGAATCAGGGGTAAGGGTGAGTTTTATATCTGCCAGGTGCCTTGTGAATGACACTGGATGACAAAGTTGATTTTACATTGACATCAAATTGCTGTCATGCCCACTGTTGTTAGTTGCAGTTTACACCTCGATTTTTGTAATATCAATATTACAAATATCAATAGAAAGGCTCAGAGATTCATAGATTATTCAGAGGGAGATGCAGTTGCAGCAATTTGAAAAGGCGACACTTGGTGGAAAAACACTTAGGCTTCTAGTTTTGACTACTGCTATATTATCGCTAATGTGGCGGTGTTGTTTGAATGGCTCTACTTATTGTTTGGGGGAATACTGCATTGACCATCTGTTCCTTAAATACGAGTGTAAATAGAAGTAGTGTGATCATATTACCAGTAGCAAGTTAAGCGCAACCAATGTGGTGAAAAAAGTAGAAAAGAAAAAGTCAAGTTTTAAGCTTAAAATACTTTGTATTAGAGTAGAAGGATTTTAAATTCAATTCTGGTGAGACAAATATGGTTGTTTCCCTTTCTAGCTCCTGTCAGTACTCACACTGCTTTGGATAAACTGGCTTTTCATGGAGCTTTTAGAATAGCTGTAATAATTACAAAAGTCTAGCCTAAAAGTAATAAATGCATGAACTTTTTCAACATCTGAGAATAGGATGTTTCTAATTTAAGAGATGCTGCCCAAAGCAGTCACACGTATTTGTTTAATATGCACATTGTAAAACACATCCTGGTCAAATACGACTCCAAGATTTCTTACAGTATTACTCAAGGTAATGCCATCCAGAGCAAGAATATGATGTTTTATAACATGTGTTATAAAATTTTTAGGGCAAAGTACCATAACAATTAATTTAAATTGGAGGTCATCCAGTATTTTGTCTTTAAGACATACTTTTTGTAGTGTTGCTGTAAATCTCAATGGACATCCTGGTGAAAACTGTAAAAAAAAAAAAAGAAAAAAATGTATACAAAATTAGGCTAAACTTGGATACTAAGCTGAATACAAAAGCAATCAGCATCTGCACTCTTAACTCTCTCTCATGAATTAACCTAACATATCCATTGTGAAGTGAATTAACTTACAGCATTGATTCCATGATGCTTTGACACAGATGAAAAGAGACTTCAGCACATGGCCAACATGGCTGTAATGCTTTTCTCAAAGGAAAGCAATGCCATCACATGATACTAAGACAAATAAAGTTACTTTTAACTAAAACAAAAATAAACATTCCATGTTTATTCATTTCATAATGATCAAGTTCTTCATACAAAGAAAAAAATTCTCAAATGACCAAACAAATCTCAGAACTAAACTCAGCCTGAAAATTCCTGTGAGTCACTGCCCATTGTTGCCTCTGTTTCTGGAAAGGGAGGAATTCCTGGTTCCAGTGGGACCAGAACAGATTTGTAAGAGCCTGAACACACTGGGTTTTTTTGTGAAACTCCTATTCTGGGAAGTCTTCAGGTGAAGGTTGAAAACCTGACTTCAGTGTAAGACAAAAGTTTTGGTGAAGAAACATTGTATCAAGAATTCTTCTGGCAACAACTCACGTGCTCCCGAGGTCCTGCTTGGTGAGAGGCAGGTGGTGGGTAAAAAATAAACAAATAATTTAAAAAAAAAAGTGTGTGTGTGTGTGTGTGTGTGTGTGTGTGTGTGTACACTTTAAACTGTCTACCTCTCTGCAGTTCCTGTTGATTTTCCGGAGAGCAGCAGCTGGAGAACTGCAAGAAGAAAGTGGTCTAATGGCATTAGCAAGACTTTCTGAGATCGATGTCTCCACTCAGGGTGTTATGGGGGCCAAAGACTTTTTTGAAGCCAAGGTATGTAATAACATTACACCGTGTACTTTAGCCGTACGCCTAGATTTTGACTTTGTCCTTAGCTCCTTCAATGCCTGTCATGACCTGTGTTCAGAGTAAAAACATGAAAATATTAACTTTACTGGAACTAACCTGTGAATGTCTATCTGAAGCCTGTTTCAGTGTTCGGGGGGGGGGCTTTAATATACTATACCCCAATATGTGTACTTTTTCTTTTTTTTTTGCACAGAATGTTAATGAGTCAAATGGCATATGACTTATCTCTGTGCCCGAGTATATGTTTGATAACTGGAGATACAGCTATGGTGAAAAAACAAGTACATCAAGTACATTAAGTACTGTACCCAAAGCTTAAATTTGTGAAAAGCTGCAGTCAGCTGTGCATGGCTACTTGGGTTTAAGAAATTTGTTTTTGTGTTGTACCAGATGCAGGCTCTGTCTGCCGGTAGCAAGTTTGAGGCTGAAATTCGAGAGGAAAAAGAAGAACGCAAGAGACAAGAAGAGGAGAAAAAACAACGACATGCTGCCTTCAAGCAGCTGCAGTCCACCTTCTGCTCGTAACCCACCACAGAAAGCAGATGATGCAGATTGCAAAGTTCAGTGTTACTGAAGTTTTAGAAACACACTCCTTACTTAGACTCAAACCCGTTTCAAATTGTGGCACTTAAATAAAAAACTGATTAATTAAATTAAAATTAAATCTTGACTAAAATAAAAAACATGTCATAACTAGGCACAGGGTGAAGTCCAGGATATGGTTAGCCTTGCACAAAACTGATACCTTGTATATTGTATGTTCGACCTCTAGACCATCTGAAATCCGTCTTTGGGGTTTTTTTTCTGTTTGTTTGTTTTGAGTTTTGTGCTATAACCTTGTTGATGAACAGTAGTTTGCAATCCCACAACTAAACAACCATAAATATGTTTCTGTTTACCTACAGAGTAAATGAAGATGTGTTGTAGACCTAGGCTAAGGACAACAACTGTACACTGAAGTTTAGCCGTATTGCTAAAAGCACACAGAAGACGGCTTCCATTTAATCATGCTTGCATGTTACAGTACTATTTCTCAACTTTGCCTTTGCTAAGACTTCGTTTCTAATGACCCTAGGAAAAAAAAAAGATGTTCTCAAGTGGAGGTCTGATGATAATCGTAATAGTGGCAGGAGACAGTTTTCTAAGTGGCGTCTCTTTAGTTATCCTCTTTCGTAAGGAACCATCTGTATAAAAGACCAATGAGCCATTGTTTGAATAATTCCTTTGTGATGATTTGTGCACAGTAATATGGTGTAAAAGCAGTAGCAAGCACCTTTACTGTGACCAAACAGTATGTTTGTGAGCAGCATCTCAAGTACATGCAAGTTACAAGGTCCCAGGAGAAATGTGCCCATCTAATTTGATTTTACAGGTTCCCTCCTGTAAAAAGACATATCACAAATTAAGATGTGAAAGGTCTGGTGTCTGTAGACTACGGGATAACAAAAAAAGTACAAGCTGTCACTTCAGTGCCCGATTACACTGAAAAGATGACCCAGAACAAGATAGAAAACATCCAGTTCTTTTTTTTTTTTTTTTGTAGCTCCAGAAAAGTAAAATCTTTATGTGTTATTTTCAAATGCACTGTGGTGTTTTGGTGTAAGAAACAAAATGTTAGGGAGAGTTCAGTCAATATACACTGGTAACCTCACTACTGTTTTTTTTTTTTGCCAATGAGCCATTACCTATAGGTTTTTAACTGACTTCAGAGACCGCTGAAATTCAGCTTAATTTCCAAATAGGACAAATGCTGATTTTTATGTTGTGACTGTGAATTACAGTACTATTCAGTACGACTAAGTCTTGGGCCATCGTTCATTTCTTTAAACTTAGGTAAAATGTGTAGTATTTGAGGTGAAAAATGAATCTATTTTGGAAAAAAGATGTAAGCTGACAAAGTGTGGAACAAGTGAGTACCTTTAGAGGCACTGTAACAGAAAACTTGGCAAACAACCTATTTTCTGTGGCATTTCATGCTCACATCAGGTGTCTGACCTGGTCTTGTTTTTCCCATTTCAGAAATAGGGGTAACCTCAGGACTGTTGTCTCAAAATGTGAACTGGAGATTCTCATCCATGCTTTGATCTCTACTAGTTCAAATTATTGTAATACGCTGTTTTCTTGTCTAAAGCATGTAGTAATTGCTTCTAGTCCATCTAAAATGCTGCTGGAAGGCGTTTAACTGATGTTAAATCTTCTCAAAACATCTTTACACTGGCTTCCTGTCAGGTTCAGATTTTAGTTAAAAATGTATGCCCCATCTGTAATGTCCATTTTATTTATGTAACACCAAATCAAAACAACAGTTTCTTTATATTGTAAGGTAAAAACCCTAAAATAGTAATAAAGACCTGCAGTAATTCCCTGATTCTCCAAGCTGGGTTCTTAAGCCCAGGTAGGGGTCTTCTTGCTATCTCACGTGTTAGTCTGAAAACAAAGAACAATTGGGTGTTTCAATCCTTTGCTCCAAAATACTGGAACAGCTTAATCCTCTCTTTTTACACTCTTAACCCTGTGACATTCTTTAAAACAGCTTAAAGACAGGCACTTAGCTAATGTTTTTGCATACTGTGGTGTTTTACTGGTTCATGTAAAAACCAGTTTGACTTTGCACAAGCTGTCACTTACTTGTTAAGAACCAATTCAAGTTATTCCTTTAGATACAGTATTTTATTATTAGCGGCCTGTCACAAAAATGCATAATTTACTCTGATTTAATTCCAACAGAGCGATTTTCAAATTGATGGAGTTTGATTAGAGTTAGAGAGACAGGACAAAAGACATGCTGTGGAAGAGAGCTACGTTACCTGATCCATCCCTAACTATAAGCTTTGTCAAAAAGGAAAGTTTTAAGCCTAATCTTAAAAGTAGAAAGTGTGTTTGCCTCCTGAATCCAAGCTGGGAGCTGGTTCCACAGAAGAGGTGTCTGAAAGCTGAAAGCTCTGCCTCCCAAACTACTCAAATACCCATCAACCACAAGTTAATCAACAGTCTGTGTACTTAATCAGATGGGGCCTGATTATTCAAGACCTTGTATGTGAGAAGCAGGATTTTGCATTCAATTCTGGATTTAACAGGGAGGCAATGAATTAAAAGCCAATATAGGAAAACTATAAATTTTCTTTCTAGTCCCTGTCAGTACTGACAGGGATGTTATAATGTTTTTGTATTATATACTATATTTCCATGTTTGTTTGCGTGTGTTTCAGTAAATCACTGTACCTTTTTCCTACCAAAATATAAAGACCTGAGGGTGGCTCAAGACTCTCAGCACTGTATACATGTCCAATGGGAAAAGTCTCACGGCAGTACTTTGAGATCAGAGACAGGCTGTACAGGATAGTCCTGCAGTTCCTTCATTCAGCACATCTGCATAGAAAAGAGATGTATGTGTTACTTCATCATGTAGTCTTAGCTTTATCATTAGCTTTGCTATGCAGCTATGTTGGTAGCATTGGTCTAGAAAAGAGACTGATACTTGAAGAAATAGCTGAATACTTTGGGAAATACTAGGATTTTCACTTCGGTAATCTCGGGGTTGCACTTTCACTTTGCTTAGCGTAAAGACTGGAAGCATGGTTAGCAACTAGCCTAGTTCTGTCCAAACATAGATATAGCAATAGCCTTAAGGCTCCCAATTATGTTTTATGTGGGTTCAGGTCATTTCTAGTATTTGGTACCATTTGAGTCCACATATCAGAACTAAGTGTATTTTGTATAATAATGGGCCAGTATCTATTTTTCCAAATCTTGTCTTAGCCTAAAATGCCGCATCCCCATGTCACCTTTGTTTAAGTTAAGTTACCAATATGAGTTCAAAATTTTAAAATTATTTCCAGTATAAACTGATATTATTTGTAATTTTGATCATAGGTTTGATAAACATGAGTAATAGTTACTCACTTAAGGATAAAACATCTTTCCTGTTATAGTACTAGGCAGAATAGTTATTGACATGAAATGCATATCATTGTGTGTTTTTAATTTATTCACAGCATGACATTCAAAGTTTAATCTATACAATGTTTTTAGTAATTTTTAACCTAATTTATCTAATTCTTTTTTCATAGTTTGGTATCTAAACCCCAAATATGTCGTGCAGTCAGACTGTATATGGAAAAGGAGACTACAAAGAATATTAAAAATTGTGTTTAAGTGATAATAATTGCACAGTACACTGGCAGGATTTTATTTTATTTATGATTATAAATGTTTTAACAATATGCATTTAAAATGTTGAATTTGAAAAATGCAACTTCATCAAGTTAATGTTATTATCGGATTATATATTTCATTTACAAAATGGTTATTAGTGACTATTACTATGGTTTTTTGTTTTTTTTTTATCTGATAGATGTTAGAAACTTTTAAACCTTTACAGGATTAAATTTTCATTGAACAGGAAGAATTACAAATAATTGGGCCATTTCATTCAATGAACAAAATCACGTCCTCTCACTGGTTAAGCAAACGGTGAGGCAAGTATTCACTGGTGTGATGTCACCTTGCGGACAAAATTAATAAAATAAAAGAAAACAACGTTATGCATATATTTATGGTTAAATTGAGTACATTTAAAATAAATAATAAATGGAATACTTAAAAAAAACTGAACCAAATTTCATTAAAATGTATTCTTAATTTAAAAGACATGAATTGAAGTTTCAGAACACAGATTACAGATCATGGCTTTTTTTCAGTGGTACTTTATTAATACCTTGTAAAGTACATTTAGGGGGCATTTAGCATGTCACACATGGAGAATTTGGACAAAATTGTTCAAGCATTATATCTTCAGCTTGACTAGTATACTATTCTAATAGTTTATGAAACCGCCTTTCACGAAATCATAAATGATACTACTTTTAAATGGCATTAAATAGTAGAAATGACCAAAATGTTAGCACCAAAGTGTTACGTAGATTGATAAATAGATTCAGATCTTCCAGGACCTGAAACTAAAAAGTGTTTTTGAAAAATGTATTAGCCAGTATACTTCACAGTGCTAATGCATCTATTTCCTCTTGTAGTCTCACTTTTGGAAAGAAAGTACTTTTTTCCCAATGATGTTGATCTATATCTAAAACAAAATTTAAGAAATCCTTTACAGAAACACTGACACATGGGCAGCAGTTTGGCTGTTGTGGAAGATGCAGTCCTCTCATCTTTTTTAAACAATATGCAGTGTCACTACCTGTGGAATGACTGTAATGTCATCTGTTAGCACCATACCTGCAACATACTGAAATCACACTAGTAAAAATTAGTTTTTAAAAATTAGTAAATAAGTAAATATTGCATATGTGCAGAACCTGCTCTGTTCTGAGTGAGGTCATTGCCTTTAATTTGTCAGCTTTGAAGGGCAGAAGTACATTTTGGGTTGCTATACGGATGTAGAAAACAGTAAAAGAATTATTATTTTCTGATGCATAGATAATAAAAGAAATTCTAGAAGATCAAATAGATCCACAAGCCCAATGAAGCAGAGAGGCTCTAACCTAAACAGTGTAAGGCGCATTTTATGTTCCTGATCATTTTATTTAGTCTCTATTAATGTACTAAGTTGTAGCATGTTATTGTCGACATATAACCAACCAGTGTATGGATTGCATACTTTATCAGTGATTTGTTGTAGAAATGGACAGAGTATTTTTTGATGAATAAATTGTCTTTTGTTTTATTAGAAAAGTTGCCAAATATTAAAGTCAGCAAAATATATTTTTCAGCACTGTATAGATATTGTATTTCTGCTGTCTCTGTCAGAATGGTAATGTTAAACTTAACTGCAATAAATGATAAATAGAATGGTAAACATTGTGAATCATTTTGCTTGTAGCATTGGCTTACTTTCTTTGGGGACTTGTTCCTACCCTCTCTCCATATATTTCTCTCTGTCTCAGAATGAAATTGCTTTTCTAGTTTGAGTTCCAGACTGATTAGCAGCTGTTGACTAACTATTACACAAAATTGTAGTTAACAAGGAACAGAAAACAGGTGTGACTATGAAAGAGGTCATTATGGGCTACAACTCCCAAAGTCCCACATGATCCTGTTCATTCACAGTGTTCCAGCTGCTCAGTGTACGCTGTCCCAGCATCTTACATCTTGCTGCTGTGTGCTGTGGGGAGTGTAGGAATTTGGTACCATGTCTTGACAGTGTTCTTTTTTATCTTTGAACAAGGGAAATAACACCAAACAAACATGTAGTTTTCTGTTGCAATGTTTGGTTCTTCAACACTTTGTTTTTTGTCACAAAAAGACCTTACTACGATCTTCCAGGGAGTAGCATTGCCAAAGCAATCTGCAGCTGTCATGGGCATGTTAATCTAGAAGCTAAATTTAAGAAGTCTGAACTTCAGTTTGTTTAGAAAATATTTATTTCCTGTAATGTACACTGTACAAAGGCACATACACATTTGAAGGAACATTTCTTCACTTTAGTCTGAAGTCACTACATGATTTCTTTTATAATATACCATATAGATAACACATAGATTCTCATTCAATGAACAGCCTTAAAAGAGAAAACTATTCTAAATGCAAAATTTTGCTATTCTACCTACTAGCTTTCTTTGCTTAATATAAAAACATTTAATATTGGAAAAAATGAAAATTATTCATTTTTGTATTTGCATAATGATTGAGACAATTATCTTTCAAAATAAAAGGTTTAATCCATAGACCAATCAGCAGTCAGTATCATTCTATCAATTACTTCTGAGCCATATGCCAAGCAGGTAAGTCTAATGTTACACAGTTCACTTTACATCATGAGTGTCTTTGTTCTAATGGGATTCCAGAGATTATCCATAGCAGCTTACCATAACAACCATCTGATGTTATGTTGTGATTGTCAGCTCATGCTGCTAGTCTACAGTACCGTCAGTTCTGTTGCTAGACCATAAGAATTAACAACATGAATGCCAGAGAAGAGTTTCTTAATTTTGTCCCTTGCTTTACTGTCTGCACTTCCAGTACTGCTGCTGCACCTATGAATTTTATATTGCTAGTCATCTCCCTTTTTTTTTTTTTTTTTTTTTTTTGCTCCTTTTGCTATTTTTTTTTCTGTCATATATAAATAAAGTTAACAGTCACCAAAGTTGAATCTGAACTTTGAATACTCACATTGGTTAAGGATAGGAAAAGCTGTCAAACATTACCCTCTTTTTCTCATCATTTTTCTTCAGTCACTGTTACACCATCTACCCTGTTTCACAGCCCACGGCTTTACAAGATCTCACAGACTTAGCCTGTTGGCAGGATAACTCTATGGAAGAAAGAGAGATGAGTCTAAATTTGTCATTGTCACTGTGAGCATGCTTGCAAATGTTAATGCAGATCACTGTACTTATTGTTATCCTGACCTTTTCACTTTTTAATAACATGTACATTTTGTGAGTGCTGCTTTTATAGCTTTGCTCTCAAATGTATTTTTGCTAGAAAACTAATTCTATTTAATTTGATAATAAAGGTAAATAAGAAATTCTATAACCTCTATAAATAGGTAATGTAGTGTTGCCACTGGGCACTCACAGGCAAGGATGACAACATGCAAACTCTTGATTCAAACCCAGAATATTCCTACTGGCCACTCCACCACTGTGTCACGTTCTGGATCATTCAGTTGTCATGTACTGTATTGCTTGTTGTAGCTGGGAACTGTAAGTTTATTCTGGCCTGCAACTGTTTATGTCTGGTCCCAGTCAAGTAATATTCATACGTTATTCCTGTTAAGTCTATCGGAACCTACCCTTTAGCTAGCTTAAGTCAGTAAGTTCTCAAAGCAGGTATTACATTTGAACAAGGTACATCTGAATTTCTACACAGTAAATTGCTTACTTGGAATTCAATAAATATCTTATCCTTGTATGAGAAGCGTGAAAATTTAGTTGATACAAAATGCAATCAAACTGCTCCATGGCTCCCCAAAATAAAAATAAAAACCTAGAATAGATTTAAATTTTGGCTCCTGTGTACTTCTAACCATGGATTTTTCACAATCATTCTTTAAACACAGCAATTCTGCAATTTTCATTTGATTTTGGAGAAAAGAATTAACCAAATCTGGCAAGATGTGCAGTTGGTGAGTAGCAACTGTCTGTTAGTGTGGTTAAAAATACAGTAATGGGGCAAGCATGACAGTGAAACTGCAGTAGCACTCAAGTGCTGTCGATAAGGTGATGCCTAAATATAAATTGTGTATTTTCATGAGCTGAGTGACCAAACTTTTTGATCGTACCTTGTAAGTTTGAAGTGTGATAAGAGAACAGTTTAGACTGTTCTTATTCAGTCATGTAAATTCTTCTATGATCCTTGCATTTTCATCATCTTGAATTACTTTTCCTTAAGTATTAAATGTTCAAACACACACATCTCCCTATACCCCACTCCGCGCACATTCTTCCATCCTTGCTAGTCAGTCATTTTAACTAATACAACTGCCAGTAGTTACTGGTTCCCCTGCTTTGAGCACTGAGGACTTGAAGTGATTTGAGGGAGGAGGTGAGGGAGCCTGCAGCAGTACTTATATATATCTGGCATACATTTGAATTTTTATAATGTTGAATCATAAATTCAAATTTACCAAATTCAATCAAATACCTCCTGACAACAAATATATCTGCCTCCACTTGCATATTCTCTCGGTCTCTTTGAGAATCTTCCCTTCAGCATTCTTACTCCATCCTCTCATTTCCATCACCGTTGATTTGCACCACACAGTCCTTGTTCATAGGCTCTTTTGAATGGGCTGTATCAAAGTGCTGGTTGCTCACTGTGTACCTTCCACAGGCATCCAAACCCAAAGCAGGGACAAAGCGGCGGTCAAACTGGATTTCTTGGCGCAGATAAGAGGTCCTCTTCTGGCAAGTGTCGCCAGTTCCCTCCTGCAAGGCTGATAGGAAGACAACTAACTCAAAGTGGGTTGATGAACCCTCACACAGGACAGGATAGAGGGGGCTCCGACGGTCCAGGGGGTGGTAAAAGGTGAGTGGGAAAATGAAGAAGGGGCATGGCTGCTGGCCCAAATGGTCCAAATAGAAGTCCAATGAAGTCTGGTGCAGAGCTTGGCCTTCATGCTCCTCGTATAGCACAGCACTCACCTTTACATCCACCAGAGGCCGCTGCAGCAGATTGGTGACTCGAAGCATGAGGCACGTCTGACCCAGGTGTTGGCCCACCACTGCCTGGTGGCTGAATTGTATGGCTCCTGCTCGCTTCTGGGGGCGGGCAATCTTGGCTACAAATGCACCTGAAAGTTAAGACGAAGTCTTGTTCATGTTGTTTTTTTAGCCGGTTAATCACATTTTTTAGTAATGTTTCTTTGTACTAAACCATAGCACAGGAAATATTTTTCTCAAGCATCATGGAAAACCCCCCACAAAATGAGTAGTTAATAGTAATGGTTGCAGCATATGACCAAAGAACATGAAAACATGAAGTGCCATTAAGCTGAAAACTTTTTCTCAAATTATTATGAAATTATTTTAAACCTCTGCATATAAAAAGGATTATAATTCCTAAACACCTAATGTAATACTTTTGCTAAATGCTTTAAACCTCTCCACAAATCGCTACCTTATTATGGTGGAGGGGTTTTTGTGTCCCAGGGATACCAGGGGCTATGTTGTCTGAGGCTTTTTGTCCCCTGGTAGGGTCTCCCAATGAAAATTAGTCCTGGGTGATGGACCAGACAAAGAACAATTAAAAAAAACCCTATGAGCAGAAGATTGAGGGAACCATTTACCCTGTGCAGGATAGGGTTAACCAAGACCCTGCCCTGGAGCCAGCCCCGGGGAGGGTGTCCGAGGGCGAGCGTCTGATGGCCGGGCCTTAGTCCATGGAGCTCATTTGGGCACAGCCCAAAAAATGAACATGGGCCCACCTTCCTGTAGGCATACCATCCCCACATTGCGCTGCAGGGCTCGGGTGCAATGTGTGCTAGGTAGAGGCCAAGGTCAGAGACCAATCCCAGGCTACCAAGACTAGCAACTGGAACATGGAATGTCACCTCTCTGGTGGGGAACGAGCCTGAGTTAATGTGTATCGTCTGTTCTTATAAGAATGACGGCCTTCTTGGAGTCCCTGGACAGGGTGCTTGAGGGTGTGCTCTATCTGGGGGCTCTGTCGTCCTACTGGGAGACTCCAACGCTCATGTGGGCAATGACAGTGAGATCTGGAGGGGCGTGAGTGGCAGGAATGACCTGCCATATCTGAAACAAAGTGTTACTGGACTTCTGTACAAACCACAGTTTGTCCATAACAAACACCATGTTTGAACATACAGGTGTCCATAAGTGCACTTGGCACCAGGACTCTCTAAGCAACATGTTGATGATTAATTTTGTAATCATATCATCAGATGTGTGGTCTTATGTTCTGGACACTCGGTAAAGAGAGGTGCTGAAGTGTCAACTGATCACCACCTGGTGGTGAGTTGGATCAGGTGGCAGGGCAGGATGCTGGACAGATCTGGTGTGCCTAAACCTATAGTGAGGGTTCACAGGGAACACCTGTCCCAGTCCTTCAACTCCCACCTCCAGCAGAGCTTCGACAGTGAGTCCAAATGCACTCAGCACCTCAATTGCTGAAACTGCTGCACTGAGCTGTGGCCACAAGGTGGTTGGTGCCTGCCGTGGTGGTAACCCCCGAACCAGATGGTGAAGGGAACCGTTAGGCTGAAGAAGCAAAAATGTAAAAATATGTAATGTCCAAAATGTTATGGTCCTAACTGTATGGAGAGGCAGACAACTACAGCAAGTTCATATAGAAATTGGGGAATTGTATGTCTGATAGAAAATGTTTAGACTTTTGAAAAACATATAATATTTCTGCTTTTTTTTCAGTAGTAAAACAGAAACAAAAGGTAATAGACAATGGAAAGACTAAAAGTAAAATACAAGCACTTGGATAAACATCATTACTTTCCTCACTTGTTCTGATGGTGCGCATTGTCATCAGATAAATGCACATTTCTGATTTCTATATAGCAAAGGCAGTGATCATGATAGTGGAAACAATTTTAGACCAAAGAATGATGTTTAAACTTCAAAATATCTTTTAAAATGTTAGAAGCACAACTGTATTCTTAAAGTGCCCTATTTTTACATTACTGTACTAAATGTGTCTCAAATCACAGGAGAATAACTTAAAATATATGACTATTTCTTAAGCCTCTTACACTGTGCACTGCTTTTGGTTCATTTATTAATGGTAAACTGGTCATTTTTCAATGAAAAGTTGGAGCAGTGTTACTGGGTTGGACCTGGTAACACTCACACATCGGTAAAGTAAAGTGTGGTTTGATCTGTGAATTTTTGTGAGGAGCAGCGTAATGTTTGAATAAAGCTTGAAAAAGGTTCAGACAAAAGATGCCAGTGTCCAAGATAGAATAGCATTTCTATGGGATGAAGTCAACAATATTACATATCTAATTTTCTGGCTACCTAGAAATATATTCATGGGATTTATCTCTGGAAGTGCAATACCTGGAGTATTCCAGCAGGTGTCACATTTTTTTAGCCTCAGAAGCTTTAAAACTGCAATGTCTGTTCTGCCTCATGAGGTTGGAATCCTATAGCTTTTTTTCTTATCTCAGGATTAATGAAACAGATCTTGTAACATGTTGTATTATAAGATATTTGTTTAATTAATCTTTAGATCTTTTGTTGTGCCATAAGATCTAGTTTTCCACTTCAAATGTTTATGATTAGGATGTGGATAGGTGTTTTGGAGATTACTGGTTTGATTTAAGCACTGACTGAGACTGGCAACCTGTCTGGGGTGTATTTTGTCTCTTGCCCAGATTCACAAAGTCTGCTGTGAAAGGTTCCAGCCTATGAGAAAAATGTCAACATGAGCAATTTCACAAAGAAATGATAGTATGATTCATTTAGTATGATTTACATGTTTTCCTTAGACTTTGGGCTACCACTAAAACACCTTCTATTGTGAATATGTAAATGTCAACTCAGTGTGGTAGTTATTTTCTGTTATGTTTCCCAAATAGTAAATTAAACTTAAGACTGAGAATTGTCTTAGAATAATTGATGTTTTGATGGAGAGATGTACCTGTGATAAATGCTTCCAGCATGAGCCCAAGCAGCATCTGTACAGCCAACAGTGCTATAGCACTGGGGCAGTCTCCACTGGGGAACATAGTGCCATAGCCGATGGTTAGCTGAGTCTCCAGGGAGAAGGAAAATGCAGCAGTGAAGCTTGTAATGTGCTTTACACAGAGCACATGCCCCTGTGGGGGCGCATCATGATCCTGCACAGCAAGGTCCCCATTTAGGTGTGCCAGCAAGTACCACAGACAGGCAAACAACAGCCAGTGGGCCAGGAAGGAGGTGCAGAAGGCCAGGAGGACCCATCTCCAGCGCAGACTCACCAACAATCCCCACACATCCTGCAGGGCCAACAGCCAGGCTCTGCGTAAAGTCTCATGCCATGAGCCCGAAGAACACACAGTGGGGCGAAGTGCACAGTGTCCATCTTTGGTGATCAGACGCTGGTGAGGTGGAGCGGACAGGAGAGGTGATGAGGAAGCCTTGCCACCCAGAACACTGCTGTTCGATTTGGTTGTCATGCTTATGGGCAAAGTGAAGGTGATGATGATCCTGAAATGAAATAACAGGGGAGCTGACTAACATAAATGATCAGTAATTATCCATACAACTTTTATCAGCATTTTTCCCATACAAAAATAGATGTAAAGAAAAAAAAGAGCTAGAAGTTAGTCACACTGTGGTATGAAATTTGCCCATGTATGGAAAAGAGGTGGGGATGGGGGCTTTGTGATCTGTGGGTAAATTATTAGAGAGCTCACAATAGCTTCTCAAGTTCCTGTTTTCTCTCTACATACTTCTTGTGACTGCTGTTTTGAATCGCATCATTTTGCTGAATAATTTCAGCTTGGTTAAAAGGACAATAAGTTCAGGTTATTCACTCCTGTCTCTTTTCTCCAGTAAATGAGCATAGAGAGCAGTTCCTACTATCTAAAGATTATAACTGTAATTAGAATTTAGTTGAAAAAAGGTCTTGATGCACTGCTGCCTGTAAGTTGGTGGATTCTTTTAGTTATGCTAAGCTAACCAAATGCTAAATCAATC